TCATTTGGGCAGCTCAACCCATGCCCTTCAAAGCCTCTAACATTCTCTTCCTTATTATCACTGTTATATTTATATAGCTATTTTTAGTAATGAAACATCCCTGAGTGGCATACAGTGCAACATCTGCATCAAGCAGTGATTGTCATTTACAAAGTGTGAAACTTAAAAAGGAAAGAAGAGGACTGGGTCTCCAACACACTGTTCCTAATGGATGTCAGAGATAGGAGTTAGTTTCTAGAGTGGAGGCAGAAAGTGCTGGGATAGGTTGGTAGGTGTGAATACACTATTTTGTCATTTCAGGGAAAAGCAACCTGTTCTGTCTTAGTTTCCCATTCATACATACTTAGATATAACATTTGGACAAAAAACTCCTTCATGTTTCAGTTAGATCTTATTGCCCCGTAGTATATTCCTGGGATGTCCAACAGAAAACAACTCTGAAAATAGGAACCAGCTTCCAGGGTGGACCTTGGCTCTTCTGGAAATAGAAATATCAATGCAGTCAGAAGGAAGGAGGATGGGGGGAGCCTGAACGTCTTTCAAATGTGCACAGCTTCAGAGGGGGTGAAAAAGACAACAGGGAAAAGAGCCATCAGCTGCACATCTCTAACTGTGCTGCCTGACTGATTTGTGAGACTGCTGCAGCCTTGGAACAGATCCCACAGCCCGGTGGTGGAAGGCTGAAAGGCCAGTGCACACGAGCAGCTTTGCACCCTCTTTGTGTAGAAGTCGTTATGTCAGAAATCCCTGCAAACTATCCTAAAGGGAAATGTACACCTGTGCAAGCTGCCACCATGGAAACAAAGAAAATCACATTACAAAGCTCATCTTCATGGACAAGTCTGGTAGCTGCTCCACCTGGAGCACCATAACCTGGCACAGGCATTGAGACAGCATTTGTGTCCAAGGTGCAACAAGAGGGATAAACTGATCCCTGTGAAATGGAGCTGAAATGAACAACAGGAAGCGTGAAGTTAAAACATTAAAAAACAAGTATGAGGATAACGTCTGATTTGTGCTCCACAAAGCTCAAAGGGGACCTCCTAACACCAAGGGCCTCTGACTTTATGAGGAGTTGAGCACCTTCTGTGTGGTGCTGCAATGCCTCCGTTTTTAGTGGCTCTAGTTAGAGCTAAGGGAGCCTGACAACTTGCAGAATCAATTCCTAAATGCTGCCTATCACAAACCAATCAAAAAATATACACTGCTTTTGGAAACAAGTTGGCTCAACTGAGTGCCTTCTATTACCCTGTTTTTTTGTAGCAATTGTCAAAGCAATCTTTCCATTAGAAGGAAATATGACTCTTGGAATTAATTCTTTATACAAAGAGCTGGCAAGAGTAACATTTACACCAAAATGAAGTCTCTGTGGTAGTGTAACAAACAGCCTACATCTGCTTCCTTGAAGCCAAGGATAATTTAGATCAATGTGGTTGAATAATTTGAGAGCAATGCTAGAAGATTCAATACATGATTTAAATATTCTTTTGTTAAAGATCTGGGGTTAATAAATCACTAAAAAATGTGTCCTATTTGTAAAGCTTGTCACTAAAAAAATCAACAAACACAATCAATTACTACAGAGAGCAGTTGTGACAAATCCTAGTTTTAGAGATTTAATTGAAGGGCTTCAGATACTACTGTGGACTCATGAAAGCCAAGAAGAAATACAGTGCAGCACTAATATTTTCTGGAACGCATTTTGTGACTGGATTATGCAGTTATTTACTTGAATTCATGCTATTTTATTCTTTAAAGTCTATGGATAATCTGAACATATGAAATACAATATCAAGAATTTGAAATTTTGAGTATAAATGACTATGTATCAAAACCAACAACAAAAATTCAGCCTGTAGCATGCTATCATTATTTGTTGTTCTAAACTCGGTCAATGAAGGGCAAAAGAGATACTACTTTACCTATGTGGCCAATCACAAATCACAGAAAATTAAAATTTCTCAGCCTTAGTTACCACAAATAAATACTGTATGAGGATGAATTTTTATTTTCCAGATAAACAACAAGGTTATTTGCTCAAACTCTGTGGAAGTAGTAACAAAAATATAGCAAACTGCTGATAATTAAGCTTATTTGAAGATAAAAATTTGTTTGGCAGTATTTGTAATTGTCTGTACAGGCTATTGCCTATCAATGGCAATGAAGATTTTGTATACCAGCATTTTTAGGACCAGAAGAGAAGAATCTATTTTTATTCCAGGACTGGATACTGCTACCTCTGTGGTCTCTGGCAAGCCATTTAACTCCTTTTCCTTCATTTCTGCATCTTTAAAAAGTGGCAGTAATCCTTACTGATTGAAAAGGTCATGAAGTTGCAGTGATTTAAGGATTAAAAGCCCTGCAGATGATTAAATAATGTCTTTTTCACTGGTGATCTCCATTTGGTTATCTTGCCTAAGACATAAGTCAAAAATCCCAAGGACTGATCAGCTTATTTGAAAAGAACAAAACATTTTCAAGATGTAATATGCAATTGTGAAGGACTATTTATAAACATAACAAACCTCTTTATTTATCAGCACTACGAACAGTAATGTTTACCACATATTCTATATTTCTGTGGGTTGGCTAAATACGTTACTTTTGATATACTGAAAACAAGTTTATGAAGGATTTCAAACAAATATATATGTGTGTGTTCTTGTGTTGGAAAAGACAAGGAAAACATGAATCGTCTGCAGTTAAAACTGAGCCCTTCTAGGCCTCAGTTTGACTTTTTTCCCAAATAAATTCACACAGGCAGTACATAAATATAGTTAATTAAGTTTTTTGATATTAGAAAGTGTTGGAGTTTGGGGTCCTTTTCATGGATTTGCCATGTAAAAAGGGCTGCCAACAGATCAATCACCTTATAAGGGAATGCCAGTTTTTGTGTTTAAGTGGTATAAAGAAGCATCAAGAGCAATGCTTTATTATGTTACTTGAAGACATTTTAATGTAATCAGCAGAGATCAGAAAATGTGCTTTGAATTTGGAGCAAAAAAGGTATTTTAGAAATTGCTGTTCTGTAGGACTAAATAATTTAGAAGAATATGTCACGTTTGCAACAAAATTCTCAGCACAACTAACTTTGCTGTGCAGGTTTTTCTTTTTTCTTTTTGAAGTCATAATGGACCTACATTTATTAGCTGAGAATTTGTAACTGCACTTGTATCTGGTCTGGCATTGCTAAAACAGAGTAAACAAATGTTGATGCTGTCTAGACTGGATTCTGTCACATGTATCTAACTTGCAAACCAGCTGATGGAGGGCAAGGGATAACTCCACAAAGTGCTTGGAATAGGCTGTGAATTATTTGGTCGTGCAGAAAAGGGAACAGAAGATTGAGACCAGAGCTGTGTGAGTCTGCTGGAAAAGCTGGAGGCATTAAGTTACTGCTGCATCAAACCAAGTTTCTGCACCGACCCTGGGGCCCAGCTGTTTCCCTGTGGGCTCCCTGTGAGGCTGCTCTGTGTGCAGCCTGGCAGATGGTGGGTCCTTCGGCCTCCCTGCCAGTGTGCTCCTCCTCGCCTTGCCTCGGATTGCACTGGCTTTTGTGTGATTTGAAATAAAGAAATGTATGTGCGCGTCATCCTGCCTTCACTTCATTTCTTCTCTACTGCCTGCTTCCTCTTATTTCTGCTCTACTCCCTCCACTGGCGTGCCCGAAGGAGACTTGTCTGAAACAGCTCACAATGAGTAAAAGTGGTGGTAATGACAGAGCTGCAGTAGACTCTGATTCCCTCTTCCATAGCTAAAAAGTGTATGTTTTGTATCTCTGGCAGAATCCAAATACATTAATCATGACTGCTAATTAAACTTAATTAATCCACAAGATTAAGTTCATGGCAGTTTTCCACTCCCCTCTGTGTTTGCCTTTGGTTTTGCAAGCAAACTCACATAAAGTCAATTCAGAGACAGACAGAAAACCCCAATGCTTTGTTCCCCTCCTGAAGTGCATCTAAAATCAACCCTATATATGTATATATATACAGTTATACACGTATAGATATATACATACATATATGCACGTGCATGTAACATACATATATGTATGTGTGTAATGGAAACCATCAGTCCCATCTAGATGATGGCTATGTCAGAAATAGTGATAGCTATATTCACCTTTGTAGCCATGGACATTGCTTGCTTTGACTTTCCTCCTCCTTCCCTCCCTTCCTCCCTCTGCCACTACTCTTCAGAGCCACATTTTAGTCTTCCTATGGTTTTCACTGAGTTCATTATATGTCTTTCCATTGAGTTCAGAAAAAAAAAAAAACAACCCAAGCCTTGCAACTACTTTTCAAAGCAGTATATGTAAAACAAAATTATGTGTGGAATCAGAAAAACGTATGTGTGGGATGGTCTACATCTTTACTCCATGTTTCAGATACTTCACTGACATCAGGTCCTACAATGTTCACTTTTATATATGCTCTATCCCTGTATCAGGGAGAAAATGAAAAAACCTTTTCCTCTCTCCACTAAAATCATCCAGACAAGGCTTTTGCACCATTGGTACATTCCTGATGTTTCATCTACAGACTGCACACATGCACTACATTACACATATCTCAGAAGTGATCCTGTCATTACACGTCGGCAGCTGATAATTTAACTCTGACTGGCAAAGCAAATCTTGATTGCCCAATGTAAATCTAATACATTATTTGGAGAGTAAGAAATGCATGACAGATGGGCTGAGCATCCTTTAAAAGTAGGCATGGGTTTTTTAAGCTACAGCATGTATGCATATAATACCTACATATATATATATAAAAAAGCATATAGCACATATATATATATGTGTGTATTCCATACATGCACCATAATTTCCAAGACAGTTACAAATTTCCACATGCATTAAACTATCTAAAAACATAGAAATAGGCAAGTCTAATAAGTGGAATTTTCTTAAATTATATTTGAACAATAAACAGCAAGAGTAATACTGCAAAGTACTTCTCTATTCTCATGTATATCTACAATAAAATTCTAGGAACAGTTGTCTCCCAAAGCATCCCCCAATAAAATAAAATTAAAAAAAAAGGTAACACCCAGTACACCCAGTGTCCTATATTTGTATATTCATTGTCAGTTCAAAAAAAAAAAAAAGTAAACAAAGAAAAGAGAAAAAAGACATCCCCACTCAGAGTTGCATATTTACATTCTTCAAACTGTAGCGGTGAAAAATAATTCTATTAAGTGCAGGACATTCCTAGTGTTGCAGTAGTGATGTTTTTAATAAGTTCTTCATGAAAACATTTCTTTTTTTCTTAATAGTGATGCATTCCATGACTACGTGAAAATTCTATTATCCCCTTCACTTGCAGCCAGTGGTTGAGTCTGGATTGAAAAGCTCCTTGTATAATGGAGGAAACAGTGTGTTCACTATATCTGGATGAGATTGCTTAAATACCTGTAGTTTCTCTCCGTGCAAGTTGCAAAGTGCAGTAATGGTTGGTATCTTGGCTATTAACTGTGAGACATTAAAATAAAAATAAAAGAAAGAGGGAGGAAGCAAATTTAGCATGAATTACAGTTTGCAAAATAAACTATGTTAACATCTAGTCGGGTAACTGAATGCAATACTCTGAACTCCGTCAAAACTATCCATCCAAAGGACCAGACATTGTTCTTACCATAAGAAGCTAAAAACAATTCTCCTGGAAATTTTAGCCAAGTGCCAAAAATGCATTTAACAAGGAACTGCCTGCAGGAGTATTTTTTTTTTTAAGGCAGACTCATTCTTGCCAGGGTACCAACTGAAAAGATTAATGGATTGAACAAAAAAATGAAGTAAGAGGTACCAGGGACAAGAGTAAAACTAGCCTTATTTCTCCTATACATTGGAAGCACATAGTGGCTGCTTTTAGCTTACATTAATGCAGCAATACATGGAGAAATGGCTACAAAAAAAAGCCATGATCAAGGACTGCTCGGCTCTTCTTTTTAGCAATTTACCTTTGTCAAAGTCTCATCGTCGAGGTGGTTCTTCTGGATCACATGTTGAAGTGCAAAGTAAATCTTTTCCTGAAGCTTCTGGACTTTCCTTGGCTCTATTAACCAGGCTCGATCTGAGAAAAAGGAAAGCAAGAGCTGAAGTCAAGAATGCACAGATGTGGAGCATGCTCATGGATGAACACCGTGTCCCATGCTGGCAAGCATTCACAGCAATCATAATTCCCATGAGGAAGAACTGCATGATAATTAAGACATGGTTTCAGAGGCAAAGCATCTTAATCCATTAAAGGATGACCTGAGAATTTAATTAACAGATGTAAAGTGTACAGGAACACAATGTTCGCTCTGCATCTCTTTGTTTAAACTAGGATGTTAGAGATAAAGATGGGAGTAGAAATGAAACAGGGCCCAACCATTTTACTATTCTCTGTTGGTACAATCAGTGTTCTTCTAACTTCATATTGGCTAGGTGAAAAACATGTCATGTTATCTTAGTGTCTTAATACATAAATCATAAACATATTGATCAAAACAGTTCTTTGAAAATAATAGAACACAATTATTTAAAAATTAAAATAAAATATATCTCATTATTTACTAGGCTAACATTTTGAGACCAAATATTATACTCTGAATAAAAAGAAATGGTTTCCTTCAAAATAATTTCTTTAATAATTCAAAAGAATTATGAGCTGTTGCACTGTCTTGAAGTGCAAATTTCTCATTATTTAAAAATGTTCTCTTTTTAAACAACACAAAATAAAAGATTATCTGGGAGAATAACAGTAACAGACACATTTGTTTGGAAACCTATATGGCTTCTACTGAACTCAAACCCCAAGTGTAGGAGGTCTTCCTTAAGATCTATATTCTCACAAGTCATAGCTTCTGGAGACAAACATACAGAAAGAGAAGTAGCAGACCCCAAGACAATCCCAAAACCATTAATACAGTGTGTTTACAGCACCATTAAACCTTCTGTTTTCCCATGCTGCAAACTTGTTTCTTCCTCCCTCTCTCCCTCAATCCAGACCAATTCTTGGGTATAGATTTTAGCTTTCAAACAGGAAATAAGAAAATCTTTTATCACAAGGCATGAATTTTCATGTACAAATTGAAAAATGCAGGAAATTCCCTTTCAATTTCAGAGCTTTTTCACCCACTCCCAGTCACTAAAATAACCCACAGAAATTATATGTTGACCGTTTCAATGAGCACACATGCCACAGATGTTGGTGCTGAACAGTATTTCATCACAGGAGGAGCAGGATTCTGCCATTTGCCTGACTGTCTGTGGAGAGAGGTATATGAAAAGTGTCCATCACTGTGAAAAGAGACAAAACCAAACTTCTAACTACTTAACAGATTATCTAGAAAGGAAAATAATCTTTTTGCAAAGCTTAGAGAATCATGCTCCCAGAAGGTAAGCCAATGGATTCTGTGCCACCAGTGGCCATAGAAACAGAATTAGCTGAGGGCACACACAGCATCTACACAAATAAGCACACAGTAATATTTAGACTTCACAGGTTAGGTGCCAAATTTTATGCTATTGAAAAAAACATGCCTTTCAATAGCGTTAAATCAAGGCCTATTACAGCAGACTGGAGCTAAAAAGATTCATCATACAGAGCAATCCTTAGAGATTTATCTTTCTGTCACAAGAATAAGCTTAAAAATAGACTGAGGCTGTTGGAGGATAGGTTTAATCGCTTGTCTGTCATGGAGCATGCTGTATATAACACAAGAGTTTGTAAACTCATGACAAGAGCTAGGTGAAACTTTTACATGTTTGCCTCCCAAAATGAGGTTTCTACCACCTGAAAACCATCTGCACATTTGGCTGGAATTCCCCAGGTACCTCTAGTTATATTTACAAAAGTGCAAGCAAAAGTCCACGGAACAGCGGCTACCCATACAGGATATGAGAAGCAGTGGTTCAATTCTCTACTTTCCCTTTTGGGTTTTGAACTTGTGTATCTTTAAAGAGTGCACAGGCCACTAGGCTAGAGAATAGTGGATGAAAGAAGATGAGGGACAACTTACAAGATCTCTTCTTGCAAAAAGGAAGACAGAAAAAAGGAATGTGGCCAGTCACAATTTCAGAAGAGGGAGTGGCATCCAGGGGGCAGCCAGGTTAGCATCTTGCCACCAGGGTCTGGCATGTTTACAGGTAGAGATGCCTCTTCAACAGTTGCTGGACTCCTACAATTTTAACCTTTGAAGTCAGAAATCAAGTTAAAGAATCACCTCCAAGCAGAGTGGTTAGGTCCACCCTGAAGTGGAAAATCTAGATTTGTGCTCTGAATCAGATGGAAAATGGGGCTGACACTGGGCTTTGCAACCTTAGCAATTATATTAATGGATGGTCTTAGGTCCCCTTACTCCCTATGGGACCACTCTGTTTCCTGTAGAAGACCTAAACACAGAGCAAGGGCACAAGAATCACATTTCAGGGTGGTGGCTTCTGTACAAAAGAAACTTGAATATGACCGCTTCCCATAGGGAATCTCTGTGTACTATATTAATGGATGGAAGGACTGGTGCAGGTATTTCAGTGCAGTGGTGCAGGGCTTCATTTTTTTAATTTTTAAAACATACGTTCCCAAGATGAAACACTTTATTATGAAGAAACTGGAACATCTAGTGTGGAAGAAAAGTGTTTCTTTCTCTGTTGTTTACTGTTATCATTTTTGTATGAAAATAAATGGCAAATTTCCATGTCAGTTCTATCTGTACTGATTTTCCCTGCCTTCCCACTCCCAAACTTGGCAGCCCAGCTGAAATGGGAATTATTTGCACAATACAAATTTGCAGTCTCTTTATGGAAGAGAGATTGGTTTCACTCATGTACATGCTGCTGCAGCCTATCATCTCTTTCTTATTGTGTCTTCTATGACTAGAGGTACACATACTTACAGACTACAGTAATAATCAGCCAGCATGCATCAAGAACTTTCACCTTTTTTTTTTTTTTTTGGTTAAAGGAATAGGAGACACTGTATGTGTTGTCTTGCTTGCAAGTAGGAAAAAGCCAGTTTGGTTGTGAAATGGAGAACTGTGGATTATTGAAATACTTCATCTTGTACCACCACCCTCAGCCCTAAAACTTGATTATAGTGAAAAAAACCTTGGAATTGTCTCTACTTATCTGTGCCACTTAGCGGAAACAGAAACTGCTGTTCAGGAGACACCCATCTCTGAAAGGCTGTATCAGGACTGATGTATATCAGGACTGAAATGCATTACTAGAGTTATTGGAGAAGCTTTTACAACACATGCCTGCAATACAGCTGGCTTAAAGCCAGTGCTGAGTTGCTAGTTTTTTCAAGTACTTAGTACAGCTGCAAGGAGTAGAAATGAGTGTGGATACTCAGGTAACAAGAACTGCCAGCAGATTGCAAGAGATTTTGGTGCTTTGCGAACCAAAGGGACATATGTAGAACTGCAGAGCTGTATCAGAATTTTGATGTCCACCCAATGCCTACCTGCAGCTAAGCACATTTCATAAATTACTTGATCCAAAAATCCATTAAAAACAATGGGAATTTTTCCATTACCCAATTAGGTTTTGCCAAGGCCTAAGACACAGGACACTCTGAGATGCTAGAAGCTTTCTGTGACCAGATTTTGTTGACTATGGCAATAACTTGTTCTTCTTTTCAAGACTACCTGGGAAACAGAAACATGACTTCTTTTCAATTTGACTAGAAATTACAGAACTGAATTCTCTGTCTCCTTACAGATGAGATGCCCCCATATGATCCAAAGTGCTTTGAAGTCAGCTTCAAAATAATCTTATTGTTTCTGTCTGTTCAGCCAACTCCTACTTTTCCTGTTCCTAACTGGAAGAAAATAAACTGAAGAGTGAAAACAACCTCCAGCTGTTACAAAAGAGAAAACAGATCATGCTTACAGGGATCCCACCACCCTCTTCCTGCTTCCCTTGGCTTCATAATGTGAAGTCAACTGGAAACACTGAAACCATCTTCTGCAGCCTCTGTTAACATCTTACTGAAGAACTTCACAGCCCAGAACCCAAACAAATTTCCAGCTTTGTCTTCAGCTTTGCACTGAGTCAGTGTTGTGGTTTAACCCCAGCCAGCAACTAAGCACCATG